ATGTGCAAAAATTATTTTGTTTAAAACTAAATTTTTAAAGGCTTCTATGACTTCTCTTTTTAGATTTTCATAAACTGTTTGTAATTGATAATAAGACAATTCATTAAAAGATTCAAGCTTAGAATGACTTATATTTTTCTTCTTCTTTTTGTTTGACATGAAGAAAAGTTTAGCTGATTCAATACTTGAACTTGAGCTTTTGTCACTTGAATACTCATTTTCACTTCTACAAGTAACATAGGCTCTTCTAGACTTGCTAGATTTCTTGTGATGGCTTTTCTTTTTGTCTTTCTTGATCTATGGACACTCCGACCTATAATTACATTCTTTTCCACATTCATAACACAACCATCTATTTTTACCTTTCTTATTCTCATCTTCCTTTGAGGAGTTCGTAAGCATTCTAAATTTCATTAGGTTATTGTCAGAGTATTTGACTCCATTTTTTCTTATGTACCTATTGTACCTTTTTACGAACAATTCTATTGCTTCATCGTCGGAATTCTCGCCATCACTTGATTCACAATCACTTTGCTCATTGATTTAAGACTTTGAACTTGAAGTATTTAGAGAAATATACTTCTTCTCTTCCTCCTTGTCCTTACCTTTCTCCTTCTTCATCTTCTTCTCAAGCGTTTTCTCATGTTTTTCCAAACAAGTGAGTTCTTGCTCATATTATTCTAATTTGCCAAATAAAGTTGTGAGATCAAGTGTTTTAAGATCATTTGTTTCTTTGATCCCAGTGACCTTGAGTTGTCATTCCCTGTTAAGACACCTCAAAACTTTATCAGTAGCTATATCATTGGAGATAGGATTACCTAGAGCCTTCAAACAATTTATAAGATGGATGAACCTATTTTGCATGTCGGCAATGGTTTCACCATGCTTCATGAAAAATAGTTCAAACTCTTGATTTAACATATTAATCCTAGCTTGCTTGACCTCATTAGTTCCTTCATGGGAAACTTCTAATGAGTCCCACATAGCTTTGACGATCTTAAAATGAGAGACACGATAATATTCATCAACACCAAGTGTGGATATGAGAATATTTTGTTCCTTCTAATTATGTTACCATAATTTCTTATCATTATCATCCCATTGTACTTCCGATTTTGGTACGACGACACCTTGAGCATTGGTCACTATAATTTAATTAAGACCATTGATAATAGCATCCCATACACCCTTATCAACCGAGATGATATGGATATGCATACAAGCTTTCCAATAGCCATAATTTTCACCGGTAAAAATAGGATCTCTATTGTACGCCTTTTTAGGTTCGGTAGGCATTTTCTAATAAGTAAATATTGAAGCACGGAATTAACTGGAGCTCTTGATACCACTTGTTAGATGAAGGAAACTTATCTAATTGGGGTTAATAGATCCCCCAATAAAAATTTTCTTTACAAAAACTATTTTAAAAAACAATGGCTAGCGGAATTGATTTAGATCAATTTGTCTAAACCGAACCGCTATCGAAAAGCTCAGAAATGCGTATATGAAAGCCAATCGAAGATAAAACGAAATTCAATCAATATTTTTCAATCAAAATCCCTTGAATTCTACTCAACAAAAAATGCTATATCCAATGATAAATCTCACAAAAAATACTATCAGAAAAATTATGGAACACTTTATGCGCAATCGGTTTTGTTTGGAAATTTGTATAATTTTGTTGATCTTAAACTCCAACCACAATCTAAAGGATTGTGATCAACTCAACAAAACATTTTTCAAATGGTTTTCAAAAGAATTTACCAAACAAATTAATCGCACAAATGATGAACTCAACAATTTGCAAATGAAATGTAAAAGATATATAGAGAAGGAGAGAGAGAGAGAGAGAGAGAGAGAGAGAGAGAGAGAGAGAGAGAGAGAGAGAGAGAGAGAGAGAGAGAGAGAGAGTGTACAAGGATTTGTTTAGGAAGTTCTCGAATCGGCCTTGCTATGGGTATGTTTGACCTCAATTCGAACTCGAATTGAGATAGTGAAATTAATTGTACTTTGCAAATTATATTTTGCAAGAGAAATGTAGCAATGCAATCCTACAAACCCTATGTTTGATGTTGTTCCTAACACTTTCTCTTTCCATGATCTGAGCTTGATCAAGTCACCCAACAATACCAATTTGATTCATCCTTTCACGCTACTCCTTTGCAAGAACCACCGTTCTTCAAAACCTTCACTCAATCGAATCCAAATTACAAATTGTTGTAACCCAAGATTTTCCAATTTGTTTCACCATCTCACGTCACTCCTTTGCAAGAATCCTCTGCTCTTTGAAGCCTTCACTCAGTCAAATCCAAATATGTGTAATCTTGTCCAAAACCTTCAAATTCCCACGTTGATCTTGAAGGAAAACCTCACCTTGACTTTCTTATTTGAAACTCCCTCAAAGATATCAATCCAATTTACAATACTACAATGAGTGATTATGTGTACTTTGTTTGTGTGTATGCATAAAATCAAGGTTGAAAATGAAGAAGAATCTTTGTATGTTTCAAGTTTTGTTTATGATTTTACCAAAATCACTTTTTTAAAAAATAATGCATGTATGAAGTATATATATGTGTGCAAGTTGGAGGCAAAAGAGAATGCTAGAGATTTGAAAAAATCATGATTTTTTGGAAAAATATGTTGCATTGGTCGGCTTGTATGAGTCATGAGCTAACTTGTAAAGGTCACGTGCTGATCTGAATAGGTCATATGTTGACTTGTACAGGTTATGTGTCGACCTGTACAGGTGGCACATCTAACAGAGCATACAAGCTTTAAAAATGTAGTACATGTGCCGACTTAAAAAATTGATGTGTCGGCACATAGACAAAATTTTCTTCTATGTGTCGACTTGAAACATGTATGTGTTGACACATAGGTTTTTTTTCCCATAAAACTTGTTTTTGATGCATGGACCTTTTCCAAAATATTTTTATACTTCCTGATGCTAAGATGTACATTGAGAATTAGATGATACTGTCCAATATACAACAACGTTAAAATATTTAATTTTTAAATAATGCAAAATAAATCCAACGAAAAGTTACACTCACAAACACATTATGATAAGCCTTCTCAAAGTCTATTTTGAAAAAGATACACTCCCGCTTAAATCTCTTAGAATGTCCACAAATTCATTAATAACTAAAATACAATCAAATATTTGTCTATTTTTGACAAAGGCCGATTGATTTCTAGATATCAATGCATGCATTACCTCTTTAATCTAGCTATCAGAATTTTTGCCACAATTATATGCAAGCTAACCAAATAGATGGGAGGAAAATGACTTACCTCTTGAGGATTCTCCAACTTAGAAATCAAAGTGAGAAAGCCAGCAGTAATTACATTATGAAGCTTTACATTCACTTGAAATCATTCACAAATCAAACAAAATCTTCTTTGAGGGTATTTCAACTTTTAAAAGAAAAAACCCATGTTGAACTCATCTAGCCTTGGGCTTTTGTCACTCTAAGAAATCCCAACATTGCACAATCATCCTCACTTAAGAGATTAAACACCACTCCAACAAGAATTGGTCTGCCAGCACAAGTCCTCTAAATCTCTCATGAAAGTTATCTTTAATATCCTTTTTGATATCATCTACTTGACTAAGTTATCTTTAATATCCTTTTTGATATTATTACAATTTTAATAAAACACTACATCTCTTTTTTTCATTAAAAAATTTAATTTAATTTTTTTTTACTTATAAAACAATAAACCATCAAAAAGAAAAATCTCAAACCTGCTTATACTAGAACTAGTAGACATCAATCATCATTAAATGTATAGGAAGTTATCATCATCTCTGTAATTGCAGTGTGGAATATAAATTGCAGAATCAGTTAATATCACTCATCTGCCAAAGTTGTTGAAAGTACATTTCAATTTCTTGAATGCATGAAATTCTAACCTTATCAATATAATCTCAAACCAAAAGACATATAGCATCTCAACCAGCAAAACTCCAAATCCACAGACATTATGACCAAACACCAATCAATAGAAACAACGACAAACAATTCATATAGATCCCAACACAATAGAGAATTGGTCCACCATAGATACCAAGATCACAATACTGTACTTCATTTAACCCTTGCCTAGCAACTTGATCATCATGATTTTCTCTTGAAAAAATAAATAATTCTCTTCTTTGAATAAAAAAACTTTTGTCGTTACAATCTACCATCCAGGTCCGTCTTTAAGAAAGTATAAGACAACCTATCGCACAAGGTCTCAAATTTTTTACTGTTAAACTATAGCTAAATAAAACCTCATAAAATATTTGTCAAATCACATAGTGATTAAACAAGACATCTATTTGTTGCACAGGACCTCCAAAAACTTGAGACGACTCTGCTATCATCAAATAAAGACCGTCGTTAATCGAGCTCAGTTAACAGCTCCATAGTCCTTTAAAATAGATCCTTTTTATTATACATGTCTCTTTAAATTGAATTTTAGTAGCTTATCTGAATATCTTGTTAGAATTAGATCTTACTCAAAGTATAAATCTTACTCAACCTGCACACTCTGCTAGAAAAAGCTCAAAGATCTTGAACTTTAATTCTGTTGTACTTTCTTCTCTTACCACCAACACAAAGTGGTAAATATATATGATACTTGAATTGAACTTTAATTTATATAATTTATATAAAAATTCTGTAAAATATAATGGATCTAATAGTTGAACTTTAATATTTATAATTTATATAATTTATATAATATGATTATCAACCACACTTTAAATATTGGCTAGAAATAATACACGCAGCATATATATCTTTTGAAGCCAAACTGGCACATGCTCTTGGCTGATTTTTGAGCAAAACAAAAACAATAAAAATTCAGTACAAAACAACAGACATTGTCTAAATAGGGCAGAAAAATTAAAATTTCTTCAAATGATAAAATGATTCCTTGTAAAAGTACTTTCAGAATAGTTCATTCTGATCTCAGAATATGCTGATATATATACATATATACATCAGCTAATATCTATTTGGACTGTTATTGCATTCCTCCCATGATTTTCCAAAGATTTGAAGCCCTAGAAGAATCAAAACCTAAAAATTATAAGTATATATATCATAAATGTTACAAAAAAAAAATTAAAATAATTTTTATATAAGAAGATAAAATTAATTACCTGATGAGAGATTCATTCTTGATATTGCAGAAAAATTGGATCTTCCGGTTGCGGCGGCATTGTTATTATTATTTGTATCCCAATTTGGTGTTATCATTGGAGAGTCATTGTGATCAAAACTAATGTTTTGTTGATGATGATGTTGTGAAGAAGATTTCTTCAACTTTCTCTTAATCACAATTGATTCTTCAATGAAGTTAAAGATATCATCTCTTTGAGCTAATTTTAAATTTTCTTCGTCGTTAGGCATCAACTGATGAAGAATTTGTTGATTATGATCGGTTTCTGGGTATTTTTCCTTCAAATCTTGAATCTTCATTTCACTAGTTCTTTCTCTTGCTCTTGCTCTTGCTTTTTCTCTTGAGTCTTTCATCTTTGAGGATTCCTTCTGAGCTCTCTTCATCTTTCGAGCTTCGTCTTCTCCTTCGGAAGACGAAGTAGAGAAGCTGTGATCATCGACATCGTCGTCACCGGAAGCTATATTGTTCTTGCTCCTAGTTAACTCCTCAATTGCTTCTTTTGATTTGTTGAAAAGCCACTCAAGTGTGTTGCTAGCTTTGTCAAACCCTAACATGTCTTGAAGATCGAAGAACTTCCGTGCTATCTCGATCGAGAGTCGCACTCTTCGGTCTCTCAAGCCTTGAGAGGTATGAATCTTGCTGTGCCGGTCTTTCTTGGCCGGTTTCTTCGCCGGCTTCTTCGCAAGCAAATTCGAGAAGTTGTAATGAGAAGAAGAACCACTTAGATCTTGTTTCAACATTGCAGCATAATCAGCAACAGCCCAATTTGTTAGGGTTTCAGGATTCATTGGAACATGATGATGTTGATGATGATGTGAAGTTTGTGTGTATGGAACAGAAATAGTTGGATCATGAAGAAAAGTGTTGATGTTGTTGGTATTGTTGTTTGAAGAAGCATTTTGATCAGGGGTAAGGTAAGTAAAAGGAGGGTATGAATGTGAAGAAGAAGATGAAGTTGAATTAGGATTAGGATTATAGCTAGGGTATGAACCTAAAGAGCAATAAGTTGAGGGAAACATTTGAACAAGTTGAAAACAAAACCCTAGTTTATTGTTTTCACAACAAAAAAGCAAAAGTTATAGTGAAGTTAGAAGTAGCTTATTCAAAACACTTTTTAGTGGAAAGAAGCTAGTTACTAGTTAAGGACTTAAAAGAGAAGCTAGAAGGAGAAGAAAATGATGAGGATAGGGTAAGGGTTTTTCATTTTGGAAAAAGATATGGAAAGTGAGATTTGGTTTGTGTAGTTTTGATTGTAAGAAGAATAAGACTCCATATTTATCTGGGTCTGAGATGGACAAGGCTCATGGGTGGGTGCTATTGAAGAAGAGAGAGAAACAAAATAATAATGATGATGATGATTATAATAATAAAATAATAAGACGAAAAATTAGGTGATTTATATCTTATAGATCCAATTTTTATTAAAAAAATAAAAGGATAATTTAGTTCAAAGATAAGAAAATGTTTTAAAATAATATTAAATTTTATAATTGAAATAGTAAAAATATATATATGTTTTGTATGAAAATTTTAGTATATTTTTATATTTTAATCGAATAGTTCTGGTATAATCTAAAAACTGTTCTTATATCGTCTTAAATTATTGTGTATGATTTTTAATTTAATTATGGTTTGATTGTGGTAAAACATATTGAAAAACATATATATTTAAACACATTATTTCAAAATCCTATATTGAGTCGATTTAATCGTAAGGTGAATAAATAAAATGTCAATAAATTTGAAACCCTACTTTACAAATGAATAACTCTAACTCAACTTATTTAATGAAATTTTTTCTTAAAATTATTTATCTATTTGAATTCAATTAATATTTGGTTTTATTATATGAACTATATTTTAATCAAATTTAAACTAATAATGAATTCAATTTAATGGTTGAAATTTCATGTAAATACATATTTACAGTATTTTTGCACAGTTATCAACTAAGTGAGATTAACCATTCTCTTTATATATATATATATATATATATATATATATATATATATATATATATATATATATATATATATATATATATATATATATATATATATATATATATATATATATATATATATATATATATATATATATATATATATATATATATATATATATATATATATATATATATTATTGAATATTTGAATACAATGTTTATGTAGAATTGTGATTAGAGAAATGTAAAAAGAGAATAAAAATACAAGAAACGTAGGATAAGACCCACAAAATAGACGGATTTTTAGGCTTATAATAAGGGAGCAACGTAAGCATCGCAGGGTCATATCATTCATTCATTCAACTTTTGAGCTCGTTAGTACTTTGTATATGTATAATTGTGTCATTGTCGTATATAGAAAGAAAACTTTAGTTTAGGGTTTAGGGTTATCTTAGGTTTTGCAGAGAATTTAGAAGGATTAATGGATTATGGATTCAAAATTAGTAGGAGTAATATGAACAAACACACGTGTTTGGTTTTTGACTTGTTGCTGAAAAAGGGTGTAGGGGCTGCAGAAGAAAAATAAATAATTACTAATAATATAGAAGAAAGTGAGATAGAGAGAATTCATTGGATTCACATTGTAGCTAAAAGGGCTAGAGAGTTAAAATAATAGTAAGTGTAAGAAGCTGTAATAAATAGGGTTAACTGCTTCTACAGTCTAGGTGTTTTTTTATTTATTTTTTTTAACTATTTTATTTTAGAACAGAGAGTTATTTTTTAAATATAGAACTTTAGTTTTATAATATAACTAAAATGGAAAAGATGGGAATTTGTAGAATAAATTACTAGGATTTAAAAAAATTGATTGTAATTATATTAACAAAGTTTGATCCAATTATTTTTAATAGGAGGTGAGGTTTAAAATAAATTATATTTGTTTTTTATATTAATAATTAAAATACATATGGTTTGATTTTGTTTTTTAAAACAACTGACAAAAATTTGATATGAACCGATATAATATAATGCGATTTTTTTAATCAGTTTTTGAATATTTAAATTTATAAGTTATAGTTTTTTAATTATTAATAATATTATAATAAATTTAATAAGTTTAATATAAAATATTATATATAGTATATAAAAATATGATATTATGGAACGAAATTCATCAACCATGTTTGAAGCAAACAAAAATAGTAAAAAAATGTTAAATTAAGTTAAAAAATCGAATTTAAAAAATAAAAAAAAAAATCAATTAGTAAAAGATTGTTACAATAAACCATACTAATACAAAAAAATAAAAATATATGTGTGTAGTTTAGTTTGGTTCAATTTAATTTTAAAATTTTAATTCAAAATTTAATCAGACTAAAATAGTATTGACAAAATGGCATTTAAACACATAAAAAAATTCAATTTTATGTGATTTTAATTATTTTTTAATTTCAATTTATATTTGTGTAAATTTGAATACAACTAATCTTATTTAGGAAAATAAAACCCTAACAAAAAGTAAAATAAAAAAGACAAAATAAATTCAAGTCACATTGATTCCCCTTAGAACATGATATGCAACAAATTTTCACATGAATTTGAAAAAGACTTGTTAACACTAAAGTACTATATGTTTCAAAAGCAACAAACAAATACCTAAAAGTGTCACACTAAAAACATCTCTTAAGTTATGTTATAATCATCTTTACCAAACTTGTAGACGTTAATCCATCGTTAATTAGTTCAGTGATGATTAACATTGAACTTAGTAAGAAGAATTACGGTTTAATTCTCCACAACTGCGATCGAAAGAAAACAAAAATTAAATTAAACAGCTCAATGAATCGAATACTGGCGTTGAAAAGAAACTTGTTGACATTATCGAAACACATACTTAACCTTACTAATCACATTTAACACTTATATAGTATTTATATAAATATGAAGAAAAAATCAAAAAAGACAAATCAGCAATTACAAAGATTAGTAGTGATGGTTTCAATATTTCTTTTGACTGAACCGTACCTTCCCCTACTGTCATTTTCAATATAGAAAACTCTTTCAATCTCTGACACTCAGAGGGGGGACGAGGGGGGGTAACTTCTTCTTTACCTGTAATTATATCAGTTTGTAAATCACCATGTACTCAAGTTTAACAAGTATCATAATGGCTTTTGAAGTCTTTCAAATGCTACTGATATTTGGATTTTCTTCATCATCATTACTATCAACTTGTAATAAACAGCATATAATAATACTAAATGTCATTTATTTAACAACAGTCACAAAACTGTAACTAAATGTTATTTATATTTATGATTTTTAATTATTACTAAAAAAATGTTAATGTCATTTTAATAGAGGATATTGAAATTTTTCTTATATTTCGTTTAATGACAGATAAAAAACCGTAAGTAAATGTTATTCATATTTACGGTTTTTCAACTGTCACTAATATGTTTTGTTGGAATAATGTAATTTTAATAGAAATGTGTGGATATTGTAAGAGTGAAATTCTCCCTAATAATTAACCTGTTATGATAGGTTTGAAAGCGGATAAAAAGGCTTTGGCGCTGGCATTGTGGTTAGGCTTTTTCAGCTAGAAAAAGTAAAAGTATGGAGGATTTGTGTTAGGTTTTTTCCAGATTCATCTAAAAGAGGAATGTAACTGTCTAGTGATTCCATTCTTTTTACTTCCCTTTTGTAGTATTTGTAGCTATTCACCATTAACAATTTTGTGATTCATACTTCACTGTGAGTTAGGGCAGGGTAGGTAATGTATAGCATCATAAGAGAATTTTTTTGTACTTTATATCTTAATTGCAAGTTAGTAATAACTTACTTTTTGTAAAAATAAATTTTTTCTACACTCTTTATTAATTTATAACATGCATGAAATTCACCAAGTATTAGCAAGTGTGCTTTGCATTCTGAAGAATTAATATTTCAAATTTAGAGTAGATAACTTTTTTACTAAAAAAATTATGTTATTATCAGAAAATATTCAATTTTAATAAAACTGTGTGTAACTTAATTAAGACACTTATTAATTTATTGTTATTATGTTATTTCTAACATTGTGTAGGAAAATACCAAGAACCAAATCTCAGAGAGCTTCAACGGATTCTGCAATATGAAAAATTCTCATGGCAGGCTACTTATGCTCGTAAGGCAAGCTTGACATCTTGCGAGGTGAATCGAGGCAGACCTTGACAATTCCAGATCACACACTTAATAAAGATGTAAAAATGAAGTAATAAATAAATTTGTGAGGCAAGTTATACAAGCCATCAGAAGAAACGAGAGGGTCTTGAATGCCATGTGGTTGAATTGGCATGGCTTGGGGAAAAGAAACCTTAGTCACATTTGTCCTTTTAATTTAAATTTATTAGTCAAAGTCAAATGAATTGGCCATGTCACGTATATTTGACGCTGATGTGGAAATTAAATTTAAATTATGCATCTGATTAAAGGAAAAGGATTAATTAAAGTTGGATTTCGCATTTTCATTTTTCCACTAACGAAACCTAACAGACGAAAGGCTCAATTAACACATATGATTAAAGGTGAGAAAAACGCTTTTAAGGGAGCATGAGTGTGAAGGCGCATTTGAAGCTTTAGTTTTCACAACGGTGAATATTTTGTAGTCCATTTTTAATTTAGATTTTAGTGTTTTTCATGTTCAATTGTTATCTGTTTTAGGTTTTAGAGTTTTTCGTGCTCATGTGTTTTTAGTCTTAGGTTTTAGTGTTTAAGTGTAGCTCTATTTTAGGTTTTATTAGTGTTTTGGCTGATGAAAAAGATGCATTAGATATTGTTGATCTTCCTAAGATGCATTTAAGTGTTGATGCTTTATATACAACATTTATTGTCTTAATTTGGGTGTATGATTGTCCTCTTGAGGAAGAAGATTTAAATTTTGAGGACATTGTAAATTTTGAAGAGGAAGAAGATCTTCATTTTAAAATTTACGAAGATGTTAGAGATGATTGTGAAGTTTAGGGTGGTTATATTCAGGATGGTGAAGAGAAACGTGATGAGGTGTTGGGTGGTGATGTTCAAGATGGGGAGGGG